CAAGTCCAAAGTATGTTTGGAGGAGACATTGCAAATCCTTTTTCTTAGCTCTTGTTTCCTCTAAGCTTTGAGGTATCTACAACATTACTAGAAGAGCTAGAGCAGCTTTGGTCCACGTATTCCAATAGAGTTAAAGCGTTTAATATTTTTGGTACAAATCAACTGTCGTAGTTCACCCTTTGTCGCATTTTCGGCAATAAGCCGCAAGCGTGCTCGACGATTTGACGCTATGTAACAGGTCAGTTACACATTTACTAGCTTTGAACTTACTATACAACGAGAGCTAGAACGATGACTGGGGTTTTTCGTGAAATGTCTTGATAGCGACTGTTTATGTCGAAACGACTCAAAACAAAATTCCATCGTGAAAAAAGTTCCCTTCTGAAAAACACGTGTGTATTTAAAGTGGAAAAATGTTTCATATGAGCATTCCGATACTTAAAGTTTTATTTCTATAATAATTTTGTTTAGTTATGTAAATAAATTCGACACGACTTGAACTGTTTGTGTGAGTGAAAGGCGAGCTGCGGGTTTTCCCTTTTCTTTATTAACACTTTCAAATATGACCGCTTCACAAAAATGCACGGGCTCACTGGCTTACAACCTTGGTGAATTCATATGCAGGCCTGGTCGCAAATCAATCACCCAGTTATTTAACAACAGATTCTCTTGCGCAAAGACCTGACCAAACACAAAAGAGAGCAGGAGAAAATGTCGTTATTACAATAGACTTCAAAATTTACATTTTCCCCGAGTTGAGACTAACCCTGTATTCCCATGAGACCTAAGGTATGAGCCTTCTGGGAATACAGGGTTAGCCTCGACTCGGGGAAAATGTAAATTGTTAGCGCTATTGTACAAGCAACATTTTCTCGTACTTTCTTTTGTGTTTGATAAGTTCTTTGCGTAAGAGAAAATAAAACTGCTGTCAAATAAAACAGCGGTTATTCGCTTTGAATTCAAAACTGGAGTATTGAATGTTCAACCTCTATTAAGCGGTCAACAGCTGTTTTCCCAATGTGAGCGCTTTAAAGGGCCTCGACTCTATCCGTATTACATAACATTTTGTTCACTCAGATTCATTAATACAGTTTAACGTCGAGTTTTAATTCGTTTTCATTGTGAAAATACAAGAAACAGGGTCTGAATGGGGTTAACTGTTAACTGAGAAACGGCTAAAATAATAACTGTTAACTGAGAATGTCGAGTTTACTTAGCTGATAACTGATATTGACAAGATAACTGTTAGCTGATATTCCTTTGTTTGCACATGTTTTGCATGTTGTGAACCTTGTTCCCAGGGCTTCTCCGTTGTTGTTTTTTTCCAAAATTTTTTTCAGAGATACCCCTGCTGGCATCGGCCGGTATGTGACACCGACTCTCTGTGGAATACCCCGATGACAATTCATTCGCTTTGCATGTGCCTACCACACACTCTGGCAGGGACCACGGAAACAAAGGCGATGGTGGGCTGCGACAACCAATTGACTTTGGATTGTCACGATCAAAAATGCCTTTTTTTCATTGTGAAGTTTCGCAAAATGTCCATAAAATTAAAGCTTCATATGTCTTCTCGATGCTCTCAAATTGCTGGAATTCGAGTTTCCGAGGATTACAATTCCCAAATTTTCCGGGGACAATATTTAGCTGTTAACTGATATCGGGACCCCCCCATTCAGACCCTGAAGAAAATTCACCCAATTGATTTGGACCAATTTTTAGGTACGTTATGTAATACAAATTCCAAAAATAATAAATTTAAACTGGAGATCCATGTTGTAATTTGTTGTACGTTGTTTTGTTCTTGAGCTGCTCACMACAAGTCGTTTGTCATTTGAATATAGCATAATAAAGCTAGTGGCCAAATATCTATTTCCAAGTCGCATGCCCTCACTGCACTGTACATCAGTGTGGTGTCTACATTGGCCATATAAGCTATTGAAATCAATCTACCTCAAATGAAATGTGTCTTTATTATACCAAACACTTAACATCACTGACAAAAAGGTCAATATTTTATACAAGTAGTTCAGAGTGACAAGTGGAGTATTAGCGAATACCGAGAATCGTTTTACATAATCGTAACACTTTATTCATCTTGGTAAAAAAAATCGTTATTCTATAACTCTTTCAATTTTATTTTTGATTAAGTCCTACGTACTTACTTTTTAAGCATTATTTTCTTTAAATCAAGAGGTTCAACAATGTCCTTTATCAGCAGATCCAATTCCTCGTCACTTAAATCGTGCTTTCGTAGTTCCAACTCGATGTCTTGCTTTCTTGATTTCTTGTAAAAAAGCTCTTCATAGTTGTACGGCATGTGGAAAGAGTGCTGATTCTCGCTCCCTGCTGCCCGTATCTTTGCTGGATATCTCTCTTCCTTTCTTAAAACAGCATGACCCCCTTGACTCAGGATRTTTCTTTTTCTTTGTATTTTTGTCTCTTTTACAATCACGGTCTTTATCTGTGGTAAGTTTCCTCGTATTTCTTCCTCTGCATTCAAAACTTTGTTGGACTGGCTAGAGGCTTGAGAAGTCATCAAGAAATGTTTTGAGATTTTAGCTCCCATTCTGATAAAGTATTTAGAGCGCTTTAGTTAAAACTACGAGATATTCTGCTGAAAGAATAATGTGCCTCGTCAAAAAATACAAATAAAGAACTGAAGTTAGTTGTCGAAASTACAGAAAATGGACGGAGTAGCGTAAATAATTTGTTTCGTCATAATCAGATGGCTGAGCACTATTTGTTTGTTCTATTTTTACCTGTACTTTGCGTCAATACTATTTTTTGAATGATTTTAAGAGTTTTGATTGGCCAAGAGTTGTTGGTTAAATCGTCATATCCGCACTGTAGATGCGCAAATTTTGTGTTATTACGTTCGATTTTATTTTGCCGTGATTTACAGCATTTTCCCAAAACGTTTAGTGATGGAGATAGTTCATTGCAACACCGAAATGCATTCTTGGTCATTGTATTGCCGCTCTAAAAGACCTTGTTTAAATGCAAACCGTGTTTCTTAAATGGAAAGCAATTTANCTCACTGTTATTATGCAATAACTTCAAGTCGCATTCATGAATGTAAATGAAAATAGTTATTTCAAATAAAGCAATTCTAAAATCCCATAAGTTTTTATTGATTGCCGCGCTAGACATTGGGAATACTTTTATCTAAAATAGTACCATTCCATAGAGGTTTTTCATTCAAGATGTGTCGTGAATAAAACGGTGAACGATGTAATGTAAGTTTATTGAGTGCTTCCTTTATAAAGTGGCCTGCGTAACAAGGGTTTTTTGCCGTCCGAAGCGTGTTTGGACCGCAGAATCAATCAAAAATGTCGTATTTTTAACCCACAAATTACGAAGTAAAATAAATCAGACATTTTGACGCATCGTCAAAGCATGGTTTATTTATCCCAACCTTGTAGTAGAACACATAAAACAACGGCTACAATGTTACTACAATGACTCTATGACATCGTTCTACTTTAAAATGAATGCTCTACCCATACACAGAAAATAAATATATAAGCTCAACTGATAAATAAGAAAACTGATTGTCAAATTTAGGACCATTTTTTCTATAACTCGTGTCATCAGTCCGTCCGAAGTAAATCTGGTTATGTCAATCTGTGTCCCTTGAAAACCGAATTATGTGTATATTAAGGCTTTTTGGCTTAGAAAAGCCGTTTCTGATTGGAGAATACAACGCTGCTTTGCTATTGGCTGATTTAGTTCGATCCAGTATCCCGAGTCTCTCGAGATGGTGTTGTAAACTTAATTAGTTCCCACTAGTGAAGTTCAATCTAGCTCAATTTGAAAGTCAAACTATATTTTATGAACTATACAGATTTGGGCTAAGAAAGACAATGCACACGATTCCTGTAAAAACGGACATAACCTAGTGAGGCGGTTCCAGTTGCACTATTTTGGGCATTCGAGAAATGTTTTCGGTGATTTTCCCCCGAAACTTGGGTGGAGGTGTGCCGCTGGGACCTCAAAACCCTGACCCTGTTCCAGAGTAAAATCGCTGAAAACGATACCCTGTTCCAGAGTAAAATTCTGCACTAGCTTGCGTGTAGACCGAATTTTTACCCCATGAATTTTTATCCAGCATCAATAATTCCGGAATTCAACCCTGACCCTGTTCCAGAGAGAAAATTCGTCGAAATCGATACCCTGTTCCAGAGTAAAATCGCTAAAAACGATACCCTGTTCCNTCCTCTCTGCACTCCTTGCACACCTTACCGAATCTTTGTTTTCCTATCCTCTCTGCACTCCTTGCACACCTTACCGAATCTTCAAGTGCTTTCCCATCAATTCTTTACTGCTTTCACACTTGGTTTTACTAATGATTTTCTTCTCAAGAAATGTCAACTATGACAGAAAGAAAGAATCCTATGTGAGTGAAATGTCAATATTGCAAAACAGTCTATGGAATGACTGCATTTTGGAAATAGCTGAAATAGAATTAACTTCCTATGGTATAATATAGACGATATAGAGTGCAAAGTAATGTTTACATACGAAGAAAACGATCGATAGCTCTGGTTGTTCGCTTACAAAGAAGTGCCATGCGTGGAAATTTTGACAATAGTGCTCTTTCAAGACTTCTATATTAAATCTGAAATATCAGGTGCATTGTCATTAAGCGATGTCGAGATCACTAATCTGGCCTTATCTTCATCTCGGAAATCTTGAGCGAATAATATAGGCCTTTAAAACAAGACCACGTGACACCGGTGCCATATTGTGAGGTATTACCCCTCAAGTAGAGGCCGTTGAGGTTGCTTGAGTGACAGCTTGAGTACCACCATGCGCCTTTGTACATTACTGCACAGGATTTACTGTAGACGTCGTTGTCACGGTCATTTGTAGAAAAAGCCATTTTATTGTGACTGGTTAAACAGTCTCGAGCAGTTCCTGACAACAACAACAACGTCATTATTTTTTCGACATTTGTTTTCAATTTACTCACCAGAAAATGCGGAAAAGCATTCTCTACCATTCCGCAAGTGGAAATTCAAAATTCAATAAAAAGTATATGCTTTGTGGGGATGAGATGAGCATACACAGTTTGAAAAATACTATGCACGCTCATAGATAATAGAGGGGAATGGTTTGGAAACCTTTTGTTGTACTTCTCTTGTACATCTTTTGTATAATGAATTTTGAGTTTGAATCAGTCAAGACCTTGCACTACTTTTCTTGCGGACGATTGAAGTTGCAAAAAGAGAATGGAATTTTGATAAGCAATATAAAATTTTTGCGTCCGAACTTTATGAGCTTTAAACTATTGCTCGCTTGCAGCTAGCAGGTTTAAATGGTCTTAAATGGCCATAAACGTCTCCCCCTCATACTTTATAGTTTTACCTGAATATTTTCCAATCGAAAGTCGATACTTATCAGCTTCATCAGACACGCTAAACGAGTCGTACTCCGCGTATCGCGCGTTTCCCTCGAAGTCCTCCAGATCAATACGAAGTCGGAAATTTCCTTTTGATGTCATGGCGTGGATTCGATCCAGTCCTAACCAGTATTCACCATTCTCGTTTCCAAACCCTTGTTTATAGTCGTGCCAGCCACGGTAGAAATCAACTGAGCCATCGAGACGTCTCTGAAAGATTGTCCATCCTCCACCATTGGTTACCATGTCACAATAGGCAAGAAATGACGGAGAAAGACTAGGTTTCATACGGTAGACGTCACTTGGTTTTTGTTTGTCAATGGCGAAACAGCCCTCAGCAGGTACTAAGGTCTTCTCCTGAAATGAGAAACAATCGTCAGAAATCAACTAAGGTTCATGTTTTGATGGTAGCTCGTTCACTCGAAAAAAGATATCTCTAAGCTTGGTTATAAAAGATTCCTTCGAGGGTTTTTGACACCAGCACAATTCGGCGATGTCTGCTTTCAAAATGGTTTATCTTGAAAA